GTCAAGGGATGTTTGGAATGATCACCCGGTACATACAATTCTTCACCATTTGTCCTATTTTTATTTTGTTAATGTGCCTAGTGTAATATAAAATAAATTTATGTTTATTTTTTAATCGTGTTGGTGGTTTTCAATAATTTAATCGAATACATAGCGCCACTTACTTCGACTCTTTATAAAGAGATGCACGTCTAAGGAAATGGGGTTTTAAGCGATTATCATATCCTCCCATTAGCTGGGAAAATCGGGTATTAAGAGATCATCGGATCCCCCCTTTTTCTGTCAAAAAGATTGCGTTTCTAAGAAGATGTATACCTCTTCTAAGAGTCTAACGAGTGTTGCTTTGTATTCGATTAAATTATTTAAAACAACTAACACGATTAAATTATTTACCAAACATTTGAATATGTGGCTTTTCTACTTAAATTATTATTCATTAACAATGTTATTTATGTTAATTAATTTAGTATGTTTGTTTTACGATAATATGTATGTACCTCTTTAAATTATTATTCATTAACAATGTTATTTATGTTAATTAATTTAGTATGTTTGTTTTACGATAATATGTATGTACCTCTTTTAATTATTATTCATTGACAATGTTATTTATGTTAATTAATTTAGTATATTTGTTTTACGATAATATGTATGTACCTCTTTAAATTATTATTCATTGACAATGTTATTATGTTAATTAATTTAGGGCGTTTGTTTTATGATAATATGAAATGTCTTTTTATGATAATAAAATTCTGTTTTATGTCGCATAATTTAATTTAATTAATTTATTTATACGAAGAAAAACCCTTACTAATATATAATAATTAACGTGTACATTTTTGCTAGGAGGCACAAACAATAATCCGCTACAGGGGTACCACCAATGTGCTCCCATTCCACCCAGCTATCTTGCCATTTCTCAAAAGGGCACGGTTAGACTCGATTAGGCATTTTAACGGCATTCAAATCGATCGTCAACTCATCACCGCATTAGCCGAGAGATGGAGAAAGGAGACCCATTGTTTCAACTTTAGAGAAGGAGAGGCCACCATCACGCTAAAGGATGTCGCCATCCTAACCCATCTGCCCATCGACGGCAAACCGGTGTGCGTGAGTGATCATCCCCCCGAGGATTGTGACGGTATGCCCGGTTGGCAGCATTTCATCCACAGTCATTTGGGAGTGAAAGTACCGGTGAAGGGTTGCGTTGATTCGACCGATCGCATGCCACCAATGAGGAAACACCAAGTCTCAATTACATGGTTGACGAAGTATTTTAGAGATCATTACAAGAGTCATCCGCTTACCGAGGAAAGTCCGGAGGATGAGAAGGAGAGATATGCTCGTGTCTATCTCATAGGCATGATCAGAGGAATGTTCTTCTCCAAGAAATCAAGCAATCTCCTTAGTTGTGGATGGCTTAGGATCATCTTCAGTAGTTGGGAGGAGATGGGGGAGTATAGTTGGGCATCCGCTTGCCTAGCTATGATCTACCACAACTTGTGCAATGCGTCTCTAAAAGCCGTGAGGGAGGTCAGCGGAGCAATGTTCATCGTCCAATTTTGGGCTTAGGAGCATATGCCATGGCTTGCACCGGCCCAACGTCCAGACAGGGATTGGCCAATCGATCATCCCCTAAGAGGTGAAGCTTATGGAGCAAGGTAAACTTCTCATACCCCATCATGTAGTCATAACACATTTTCCCTTGTGTTTTATCTTATTGTAGTTTCATTCTTGTCTTATTAATAAGGTGGCTTGGACACACCACATGCGATAACCTTGTCCAACACAAGTTGGACGAGTATCGGAGGAGGTTTGAGCGACTTTGGGAAGGAGAGGTAACTTCTATACTGCGATCCATTTATATTTTTTTTCATGGGACTACATGTATTTTTCTAACACATTTATCGATTGGACATCCGGGACAAAAAAGAATGAATAGTGTCACAAATTTCATCGAGGTTTTTGGGGGCTGTGGGGGTCCTAAGGAGTAGTTTCTTGGGCCTACCATGCGTATTTTCACGATGCGAACGATTGTTGTTAGTAGAGGCCGAGGCGATTTTGCCTATAAGACAATGTCGTAGTAGGATTGGATGGATCGAGGTTAAAGGTAGTTATTTGGTTGGATTTAGGGTTTGGGAGGGGTAAAATGTGTAAACCGCCTAAACGTGGAAAAAGATACCTTTTTAATTATTACAAAAAACTCTATTTAATATGCATAATTATCATATTTATAATTATTTAAAACAATATAATTATTTAGTTAATTATTTGGAGGGAATAAGTTAATTATTTGATCTCTATCTAAATCACTATAAAAACATCCAAATCCGTAAATAATTTTTTTTTATGGTCAGTAAATAAAAATTATTGAAACTTTGTTTCCCCTAATTCCGTTTGTAGCAATCAAAGAAGGAAATAATTAATGATAAAAAATATCATTTATTATGGCTTAGACGTGATGATTATGTTTCCCCTAATTCCATACGTGTTTGATAATTATGTTAAAAAATAATATATTAATAAATTGTATTCCACTGTTAATCTAATTAATTATAAATAGTGTCCCGGGCAAAAAAGGAAATCCCTACAAATTCGAGGTTGTTAATTAGAGATACCATGGGAATGGATCAGGTCAGTAACCTTATGGTGAGTAAACATGAGTAACCCATCCACATCAGCATGACATCAGCATCCTCTCTCTTATGGAAAGTCTTTAATTTTTCCCTCTTTAATCTTTGACGGACGATTTCTCGCTCATTTTAAGTCGAAATTTAATTTTTTTTGCACAGTTAGATCAGATTAATTGTGCTCTTCAAAATGATATCCAATTTACTATATTTTTCGAACAAAAAAAATTGAGCCATTTTTTACCAGCCTATACCATATGGTATTGACTGGTATTGAAATAAAAGCATACCTATGTTTTGAAAAACGTACCATGGTGGTATGAACAAACCAATACTGTAGGATGGTTGAATACATGATAGTAGAAGTATATTAATTGTAATTTACGACTTTTAACATTGTATACCACACAATACCACCCCGTACCAGGGTGGTATTGTGTGGTATTTTTTGGTCCTGTAATTTGTTCACCCAGAAATTTGTAGATCCAATAGATCATGATGAACTCGTCCCTTCTGTGCAAACGTTTTCAAAAACGAATTAAAAACGAAGAAGATACCATACAATACCACCCCGTACCAGGGTGGTATTGTATGATATTGTGTGGTATTTTTTGGTCCTGTAATTTGTTCACCCAGAAATTTGTAGATCCAGTAGATCATGATGAACTCATCCCTGCTATGCAAACGTTTTCAAAAACGAATTAAAAACGAAGAAGATACCATATGGTATGTAGTTGGTACCGAGAGGCCAGAATTTTTTCTTCCTAAAAAAATATTGAAAATTGATCTCATTTTGTAGAGCACGGTGAACTCGTTCCATCTGTGCAAAAAAAATTAAAATCCAAGTTAAAACGAAAAAGATATGAGTCAATTAAGAAAGCTAGTGAAAATAAAAATAACCTTTAATTCTCCATCCTTAGATCTGGATTTTCTAAATGAAAGGTCCAGATTTGGTTATTGATGGGTGCATAACCCATGGTTATGCACCCTATCTTGAGCCAGATACCATCATATAATTATTGATAATCTTGGATCAGATTTGTTCAACCGTGATTATATATATTTAACATAATAATATAATTATTAACCTTTACTCTAACTAATATACGGGTTCTTATTTATTTGAAAAAAATATATTGATAAATTATATTCCATACATGTTTAAGTGTAATTAGGGGACATGGGTTATTGCCAGATTGTTAATTACGAAAATTTCATTCTGAAAACTTGTTAGGCTGAGTCCAATGGGCACCCCATTTATGGAGGAATCTGCAAAAATGCAGGAGGAGAAGGTCCAATGGGGAGGTTTGGGCCTCCAAAAATGCAGGATCCTGCATATGGAACCCCAAATATGGAGGTGGAAATGGGGGATCCCCAAATATAGAGGCTCACCAATGCCCGCCACGTGGCTTTTCTTTTTCTTTTTAAGATTTTAGGGGTTAATTGAGAGTTTAATTAGGGGATTAGTTAGGGATTTAATTATATCAATCATTTTCAAGTGTTGTGTGTAAACCCAAATTAGGTATATAATTTTTTGTCAAAAAAATTCGGACTCAAAATTTAACAAAATTCTATCGAAAAATTTGTATTAAAAAATGATGATGAACTATACAAAAATTAAAATGAATAAATTATATTAATGATACGATAAGTACATTTTTAAGTAAATGAAAAAACTGAAAATATTAAGAACCCCAAATATGGAGTTTGTTGCATTGGAGCAAAAGAAGGGAAAATGGGGTTCAATCCCCAAATTTGGGGTTCAAGGTCCCCAAATTTGGGGTTTTGCATTGGACTTGGCCTTACTCAAATTTCCTCTTCCGAAAACTTGCCTTAAAAAACTCTCTTTAATTTTCTTAATTATCGGATTTATAATTACTTAAAATAACATAACTATTTAAATCCTAATTATGGTATTTTACATTTATTTAATTACTAAATAAATAAATAATAATTTAAAAACGTTTTTTGAAAAAAAAAATTAGTAACCGTCCGCCGTCGGGTCTCGGGATATCTTCTACTGCCTCCTCCCACTTCCGTGGGCCCGATGGACGCTATGCGACCAGACCTAGTAGCGAGGATGGCGGAGATGGAAATAGGAAGAGGAAGACCACGAGGAAAGATATGTCGTGGTTTCTTACAGCCGAGTCTCCGATGTGTTCAGGTGGACCGGTGATTCCCGATGTGATCCCTAGTTTTGGAGGTCACATTGGCTTTGTACTGTGGAATTCCCCTGAGCAGGACCGTGGAGTGTTGGACGGCTTCCATAGGCCGAGAGCTGTAGAGACTTTGAGGCGATATAAGTGGAGTGCAGAGGGTTCCAAGGAGATGGTTGAAGCCACATGATTGTCTCACTTGACAGGGTGTATGATGCAGCATTTAGACATGGCTCTACTGTCGGCATTTGTGGAGAGGTGGCAGCCAGACACAAACACCTTCCACATGCCGTTTGGAGAGATTTCCATCCTTCTACACGATGTGCATCACATTCTTCGGATACCGGTTGACGGAGAGCTTTCCACATGCCGTTTGGAGAGATTTCCATCCTTCTACACGATGTGCATCACATTCTTCGGATACCGGTTGACGGAGAGCTGATGGGAGATGAGGCGTCGCAGGATACTCTTAAGTCAGACATGGGTGGTCTAGTTCGACTTTCGGTGGATGCTTAGGTTGGTGGTAAGTGGAAGTCTAAGTGGTACGATAATGGTGCTATGCATGCAGAGGGATTGTTGGTGCGTGGGGGAGAGCTGAAGATTAAGGAAATGGAGGTGCAGTGTTACCTATTTGTGTTACTGGGATCCACGCTTTTTGTGGATAAGAGTCGTGATCGCCTTCGTCCTGCGATCAACTTGTTTCTGAAGGATCATTGACGATTGACTGATTACGCTTGGGGAGCTGGTGCACTAGCCTATCTCTACAGACAGTTGGGAGTGGCCACACGAGCGGGTAGTAAGGGTCTTTGTGGTTGTTTGACCCTGCTTCAGGCTTGGATATATGAGTACTTTCCTCTGTTCCGTCCGAGCCAGCTGCCGCAGTCTCCTGATGCACCTCGTGCTTCCTCGTGGATTTCTCCCCGTTTTCCAGGTGGGGATGAGGCTAGACAGAGGTTAGCACGTTATCGACAGTTGTTGGATGAGCTTTCAGCTGATGATGTGACCTGGACTCCGTACGGACGAGATGGCCACACAGATATACCCCGCTCCTAGTATACTGGCCCCATTCGCTTTTCTGACATTGCTGAGGGATACGATCCTTCACGTTGTCTGCGCCAGTTTGGATACCGACAGATTATCCCCGGTGCTATGACGGTACCACATGACCAGTACCGTCCGGCTTCCGGCAGCAGTTACATAGTCTTTTGGGATCCGTGGGTGAATTAGTTGTGGGATAACGTGGCAGCCCGTCGTCTAGATTTGGATTTTGCTTCTCGGCCGTGAAAGCACCCATCGGAGATCGTGGAGGAGTACGTTGACTGGTTTCTGACTAGATCGCACCCACGGATCACTCACCCCACTGATGGGGTGCCTCAGCCTCGACCACTACTAGTTCATCAGGTTAGTTATGACTTTCTTTTGCTTTTCCAAATATAATCCACTGTCGGTTTGGCTGCATCTATACCACAATGAGTCGTCCTTCGCACCTCCGTTAGACACTTTGCTCTCACATTCCTATCCATATGCCAAAGACATAATATATGAGTCGATGATGGAAACATTACCCCCACGGTCTCAACCAATCCTCCTGCCTTGTCACTGACAAACACATCTGGAACAATGGGGCCAAGAAGATGTTGCAAATGCGTCAGAAGCCACTGGTACGACTCCTTCGTCTCGTCGTACACTATTGCAGATGCAATGACAAAGTTCAATCCCACTGGTGTCATGTCGACAATCTCAACCCAAGGCATATCATACTTATTGGTCTTGTATGTTGCATCTATCACGATCACATGGTGCCAAGCTCGCAACATCAGTATTGACTCAGGGTGGGCTAGGAACAAGTGTGTAAGCACGTTACGATCGTCCATATACTGCACATAGTAACCCTTCTCCTGCGCCATGCGGAAAGTATATTGTAAGGCTGTCATCTGACCAAGCTCTTCTTCCTTATCTTGTGACACTCGTTATAAATCTGCTTTCTGTTGTGTGTTCCATTTGCACCTTTTCTGTCATTCACTGCCTTGTGGACATTCCTTGGTGGGACACCGGCTGATCTCAGCTCTCTGATGTATTGCTTATCCGCTGTAGTCAAAACATTCCTTCCCTTTGATCCCTCCGGAAATAGCTCCAACTGATGATTGTGGAAACCCAAATTAGCACCAGGATTCTTTGTATTTGCCACCCCTAGGATCAACCAATATCCATCACCTGACCGCTCAAGCTTGATCTGAAACTCGCACCCCAACTTTTCAGTAGATGTAAGAGGCCTCGTTTCCTTACTCGGATCAGGTTCCTTCGACTTCTTCTTCCTACCATGAGTGCAATGTAAGTAATGTCGCCAAGTACCTTCATTCTTATTTTTTTTGTTCAATGCCCTCACCAAATAAAACCCAAAACCCTTTGCAATCTCAGTGGCTGCTTCATATGCTTGCAACTCCGTAGTATATTTCACGCCATCAATGAAATCCGAGGCGTAATCATGGCCATCCGGATTGTAACTTCCAATATCCTGCAATGTTATCAGTATTAAATTTAATAATCATCATAACTTCATATGCGAATCTATTATTTATGCAATAAATTTAATCTTAATTTGTAATGCAAAATCTAATCTTAATTTTCTAGATTAACACCAAATTAAATCTAATCTTAATTTAAGGCCAAATCTAATCTTAATTTCTAATGCTAAATCCTTCAATTCCAAAAATAATTATGCAAATAAATCTAAAAAATTATATAAATCAAAACCCAACAAATTATTTCATGGAACAAATCATAAATCATATAAAAAATAGAAAATTATTCAATGAAAAAAAACCCAAAAAATGGCCAACCGCAAGTGACCTGCGGTTGGACCATGGCCGGACCGCAAATCACCTGCGGTTGTACCATGGGTGGACCGCAATTGACCTGCGGTTGGACCATGGCTGGACCGCAAAACCATGGTCGAACCGCAAGTGACCCGTTGTTCCCATTTTCTGCATTTTTTTTTCAGTTCATGTTTTTACCTCGTCGGAGTCGCTACTTATGATTCAGACGTCGTACCGACAATATCGGCTTCAAAATGACGATGAGAGATTTTTCTCTCCTTAGATAGTGTTTTTTTAGTCCAAGTGATGTTTGTTTGAGGAAGGGAAGGTAAAGAAGATAAGGAGGTTAAAAGTGTAACTTTGATTCTTTTTAGGGCGACCTTTAACAAATTTAAGGGCGACCTTTAGCAACTCCCCTGCATAAACAGCAATCCCATCTCACTGGTTAACGTCGAACCGTCTACGTGGCGTACTGGGCCTTGAGCCCTTGACGAGTTAGATAGAAAGGGATGATATTGCAATATGAAAAGAATTGAAGGCCTGAACAGCAAAAGACCAAAACGTTTTTGCCTCGATTGCAACTGAATCGCTATTTGTCACCCTAAATTTTAAAAAAATTCGCCCTAAACTGTACCACACTGACCTTTTTATCCCCATATTTAATTTGTAACGAAACTTAAGCAAATTCTCACCCCAACCCTACCCCACCTTTCGCCGCCCGCCGCCCACCTCTTCCGCTCCGACCAATCCATCCCCGATCAATTACCCACCCTGAACCAAAATCTGGCCACCTACCTCGCTGTCGTTGCGTTTATGTTGCCGGCAACCGATCCAACCCCGACCCCCCACCGCCCAGCTCGCTACCGCTGCTATTTATGTACTGCCGATCAATTTCTCAACTTCAATTACAGAGCAAACCATGAAACAACATCCCAACTGTAGAATTCTTAATTTTGACAGTAGATTCAGCCTCTCATCAGCAACAAAATCACATTCCCCTGCCCATAAAAAAAACACATTCCCCTCATTTATGAACACAAAATTGCCTCTGGCTCTCGAGGAAAGAAGAGAAGCCAAAGCTCGGTAAGACTTTGTATTCTCCTTAGGTGGAGAATGTGACGTCGGATCAAGGTTGGAGGCCGTCGACCTCGTTCAATGCCTTCACTGCACCAGAACAATTTTGTGTCCATCGCCGCTTCAAGGATCGTCTCCCACCAAGAGCACACCACTGTCCATTCGAGCGGCTACTTGATCTCTTTCAATGCCTACATTACATCGGGGGATATCAAAACAAGAAGGAATCCGACGCTTCCCAGCTTGAGGACGAAGGAGTCCGACCTGCCGCCACCTCTCATGCACCTCCTTTGTCTCCGCCCTACTCTGTGTCAGAAGAAGGAAGAAGAGAGCCGCCGCCACCGGAATTTTAACCTGTCCAACGAGCAGCCTAATCAGGACGGGAAACCCGTACTTCTGACAAACGGCCGGCGAAGCGTCGGGGCTGGCATGCAACCTATCTTATCACGGGCCGGGTCGGATGGATTACCCGTCCATTCTGGGTTTTGTTAACTTCGGCAAAAAAAAATTATAACAATAAGGGTAACCGTGTAATTTCATTTGATTTAGGGCGACAAAATTTAAATTATTAGGGCGACGAATAGCAATGCCCGATTGCAAACCGTATCGGCTCTGACGACTAGTTGCTCTTTTGTGAAGGCTTTTCTCTCTGCAGGAAGCGGCGGCAGCGGCCAAGTTTTCCGATTTCCCAACTTCTGTTGCTGATCTGAAACATCTCCGGCGGAGATGGCGTTTTTCCTGAAGAACTCCTCGCTTTCTTCTCACTTCCGGTCGCGCTCTCAGGTGCCAATCTGTCATTTTTGTTTTTTTTTTGTTCTGATTCCGTAATCTGAATTCGAGCTACCACTCACGCCTACTCTTTTTCTTTCTCCTTTCCGGCAACCTTCTCGATCAAAGGAAGCGCTTTCAGTCCCTCGCCGTGGATTCCATGTCGAGCTTGGCCAGCGAGAGAAAGCTGTGAGTCTGCCCTGCCTCTCACTCTACCTGTCCCTCTCTATTCGATAAGATTTTCTCCCCTTGCCCCTCTCTTCGTGTGGATTTCTCCAATTAGGGTTCTAGGATTTCCTTTTGATGGGCATTTTTGGGTTAAGATTGTGGTTTAGGATTCTGTTGAATGTTGGGTTTTCTTGTTGGTGATGGTCATGTGATATGCAACCTTCATTGCTTGGTTATGTTGTGAATGGTTTCTCGTTTCTGGTTCACCGAATTTTATGTTGTGAATGGTTTCTCGTTTCTGGTTCACCGAATTTTGAGATTCTGTAGTAATTTGGTGACTTGATCATGATGCAGCTCTTGGCCGATGACCCGGCTATTCGTAGATTCAAATCACACAAGTCAGGCGTCTCGAAAATTAACAAAATTGGAGATTTTCTCACCGTTGTCGTTGTAGTCGGTAAGTATTCTAGTTTATGTGCTTGAAGTGAAGAGAAAACGTTTGAACCAAGGTTGTGTGTATCTGCTGCTATTCATTGCCCGTTTTGCTTAATTCTTTGGGCTGACAGTTGGTATATGGAATCATTATGAACTGATAGTAACCTTTAACAGTGTCTTGAGCATGTTGGGGGTTCATTGTTGACTAGGCCAGGAACTTGTGGTTTCTGAGTGGGATGCTGAGCCCGCAAACCTGTGCATGAGATCTACCATCCATTTGCCTGAATGATGAAACCTTATTGGATATTTCATGCAATTTAGTGTACATATAGTGATCAGTGTTGCCCTCTCATAACCTTGGTTGCCAAGATTTTACCGACCTAAGTAATGTACCCCAGAACAGGACTGCAAATCCTAGCATTCGGGAATAACCTTAACATACATCTAGCCATGGAGCAGTAATCATCATTTCTGTCAGGCTGAGGGTCTCTACGCTTTATTTGGTATCTACGATATGACCTATGGCCATGTTATCTGTGAAAACCTGTTACCGAACTACTAGGAAATTCTTCGCATTCAGTTTCTACCTGCTCTGCTTCACTCCCCTAGCCTTGCAACTTATCAATTGTGTCTTACCCTTTTTTCCATAGGGTGCTGCTATGAGATTTACGTGAAAGCAACGATGCGCGAAGAATCAAGGAAGCAGGCAGGTGAGAGTGCATAAGGTTGTGTGCAGAAGCCAACACATGAATCAGTGTCTTTATGGTTTTCATTTGGCAACAGAACAACCTGTTTGTAGGCTGTTGTGATGTTCTCAGACTCGCTGCCTATAGTTGCGGTTCATACTTCATAAGCAGATAATGGAATAAAAATTTTCAGGCATGGTAGATGGATATAGACACTTGAGCATCCCTTTTTTGTTGGCTGGGATTCTGTACGTTGTTTGGCTCTCTTGTTTATGTCAAGGGACGCATTGAATTGATTGGTCGGGTTTTGCGCAATGTTCAAATGATTGTGATGTTAGGGAATCAGTTTGCAGAATCACTTTCTTAATTCCCAGGTCTCAGAAGGCTACAGACCATGCGGATTCTTGCCTAGTTCTGCCCAGGGTATAATGAACCCCTTCCCTTGTAGGAATGGCCGTCGTTTGCTAAGTCTAGCGAGACGAATTATATTCGATAACTTCTTACAAGGTTGATTTCACGACCTGGATTGAAAAGCTTGATGTTGAAGTCGTGCAGTGGACTCGAGCTTTGTCATGAAACAATTGATAACGAAGAACTCGATCGTTTTGGTTTAGTTAGTCGAATTGAAATATGTTAAAGAAAGAATTATATGCTTCGAAATCGTAAGCAAAACATCAATCTACTCATAAACCGAAACCAATAACCAATGGTCAAAGCCGATATGCATGACAGTTACCTAAGCTAAACCAACAAAAATCCCGTTTCAAATGTCTTAACCGGTATAATCCAGTTTACCATGAGTTTTCTGTGGATCTTGCTGAAAGTGGTTGGACCCGGTTGGTATGTTTCTATGGGTATCTCTGGTCAGCTCGAAAACCAGTTAGGTATGGTTGGTTGGAATTGTAATTTGATTTCAATCTCCATCTACTGCTGCGCACCTAAAGAACATCATTAGGAGGAAAAATTCAAAAACAAACAGATGGCCCTCCTCTCATTATTGCTACCGGCGATGGAGGGTTGCCACCGTAAAGTTCAACATCCGATTCCGACAGTTTGGATTTTTCTTTTCTTTTCTTTCTTTTTCACCACCCTTTTCCTCCAAGTCATTCCACTCGCCATTCGCCAACCAAAAAAGTCTTTACCGACAACCCAAAAAAAAAAAGGAAACAGCTGCGTACTAGTAGCTAAGCGAGTTTTTGCTTCCCATTCGTGAGCTGTAAAATTCTGACACACTCACACACACACACACTCTCTCTCTCACAGGCAGTGCTTTTTTCTGGAAAACCCTTTTAGCCTCTGCAATAATTTCAGAGGAAAGGGGGAAGATTCAGAGTTGAGAAGGATGGCGACGTTTGCAGGGACGACGGAGAAGTGCAAGGCTTGCGAGAAGACGGTGTACTTGGTGGATCAGCTTGCCGCCGACAATAAAGTCTATCACAAAGCTTGCTTCCGCTGCCACCATTGCAAAGGCACCCTCAAGGTACCTCAATCCACTCTGTTTAAATTCCTCAACCCATTCGAGAAAAAGATGCAAACTTGAAGCTTTTAAGTTGCTTTGCCAAAGTTGTGTGCTTTTTATCTGTACAAGTTGCTGTTGTTGATTGTTGGCTGGGATCTTGCTGTCTGGGGTTTTGGTTTACTAGTAGCGATCAGCTTCGGCTCTTTGTTTCTTTTTCGAGAACTCTGTTTTTCCTTTTCATTCTAAAGGTAGAGGCAGAGGACAGCTATCCTTTCCCTTAAGACTACTTTTAATTGGTCTTGATCATGTCGATCTTTGGAGTCAGGTGATTGAGACAGAAGAATCTGGTTTGTATAGATCCTGGAGTTTTAATTGACGAATTAGATGGTGGGTAGTTAGCAGATCTTTGTCAATTTTTTGAGTTTGTTGGCGATGATAGTTATAGTTGTAGTTATAGGAACATTTGTGTCCCACTCCCACAAGCGATTGGAGGGTGGGGGGAACCCTAAGGGCCAAGGGGAGTTAGGTGGATGCAAGTTCAAACTTAGGATAAAAAAGAGATGTGCTGGACAAGATCTTAAGAGTTTCTTCATTGGTAGAAATTCAATGATGATAAGCAATATCACTCCATTCAAATTCTGGAATTGATACATTCAACTGTGAGGAAACTAGAAAGAAGAGAGGAAGTAATGAACTTCTAAATGTTTTTGTATTTCTTTTCACCTCTGTATTAGATGGAGATGACGTCTAGTCAGGAATACAACCCAAATCACTTGTTTGTGTTCTTCCTCCTTCATCTTTCATCTTTGGCTACTGGTTCAAGATAAAGCATTATTTGAAATCGTGACTATATGTCGATTGCCCTGCACTTGTCTCGGGCATCCTCTGTTTCTTGTAGTCACCATTTGCCTGGTAATTAGTCCATTTATACACATCAGTTTAGGTTCTATGCCAATGCCAATGCTTCATGAATAGAGACATCTAGCTTAATTTGTTATAGAGGCGGCTGGTCTCCGTTCCGCTACTTCTTTCGACTCTCAAGTGCTTTCCTTCTGTTTGAGTTTCACTGTGATATTGGTCTCCATCTGAAATTTTTTCCTCTTAAACATGATATTCTTGTCTGGTTCTGCAGCTGAGTAACTATTCCTCCTTTGAGGGTGTCTTGTATTGCAAGCCACACTTCGATCAGCTATTCAAGATGACTGGCAGTTTGGATAAAAGCTTCGAAGGTAGTATTAATTGTTCGGATCATTATTGCTTTTCAATCTTATACTATCTTTAATGTTTAGGTGGGCTTAATGTCCTTCTCCAATGACTGTTTAGGGACTCCAAAAACTGTTAGAGTGGAACGCTCTGCTCACCAGGTATCCGATTCCTCCTAAACTTTAAGCAAAACCGATGAGTCATGTCTTCAGGGAACTGATAGTTACTTTCTTTCTTCTCACGTACACAGAGCAGCAGCAAAATCTCAAGTATGTTTGCTGGTACACAAGACAAGTGTGTCGCTTGCAAGAAAACTGTTTATCCGCTTGAAAAGGTAATTAATCACTCTCAGACGTCCACTAGTGTAGAAATCATGAAAGAATCAAGCTTAAGACTACATACTCGGCCTTTTCATGATATGTTCTTCTTCTCAGGTGGCAGTAGATGGCACATCATATCACAAGGCGTGCTTCAGGTGCACCCATGGCGGCTGTGTAATCAGTCCTTCAAACTATGTGGCCCACGATCAGCGCCTCTATTGCAGACACCACCACACCCAGCTCTTCAAGGAGAAGGGCAACTTCAGCCAACTTAGCAAGCATGATAATGGCAAACCGCTGGCTGGAACAGATTCAGCTGCTGCATCTGAATGATAGATACTGTAAGGTTTTTATCGTTGCCCAAAAACAAGTCTCAAATGTCTGGTTTGCCTTTGGAATCCATACCGGACAAGAAGGGCGAAAAGTGAGGATGAACAGAACTGTTGAAACTCGGTAATGCAGAAGAGTTCTTTTAATGGTGATATGCAGAATATGTTATTTTCCTGTTTGTCTGCAGGATCTTGTTTTCTGAGTGTGAGGTGTTTCTGTGACTGTATGGATAGACCATTGGTTTATCCAGAAAGGTTTTTGGACTTTGGTTATTTGGTTATCAATTCGGTTTGCTGCCAACTTTTTTGGTCTTCCTTGTCAAGTGTTGTGCTAAAAATGATGTTTGCTGCCAGCCACGACCATGATGTTTTTATGTTGTGCATTAGCAGTCAGATCACATCTGAGTTCTCTGATGATAATGTTATGTGTTGATCTTTTCTGTTAACATTTGATAGATTTATGCCTGAATACAACAAATACATTCCAATTTCCAAGTAGATGGGGAAATAAGGTTTTTGCTGGAAGTCGTCATCTGGACACCAGCAGACCATCAGTAGAGCACATTGTCGTTTCGATACTGTTGACTTATAGATCCGTCTGAGGGAGGGAGGGAGTTTTCACTTCGCTCCAGCTCTGAACCCAAAAGCTGTAGCTTCCATTGTACATGCCTCGCCAACTCCTCATACCTTGGAATTGGAGCAACCCAACAAGAAACCCTAGGCTGGAACACCTGAAGGTGACAGATATCATGCCGCCCTTCTAGTTTAGAGAAGAACTCTAGCTCTTCCCTTCTCAAATCGCAACGCAACATAGGACTCATACTAACACGGTGATATCGTAACTCCAGACAATTCCATCTCTCCAAATAATCTTTGAGCAGACTCAGGTCAAAGAACATACTCTTCCTTGTAAGAGGAGCTTGACATAAATCTCATAGAGAGTACTCTCGAAAATCCTCTCACACTCCTAGATTAAACGCAAGCAACTTCAATAGGGTATAAACTTGATTTGTTGTCACAAATTGAGTTGAGAAGTGTAGAAAGAGCAAGCAAACAAGATGCACTAGTGTCAAAAGTGTACAAGTCACACTAGGTCAAGGCCTTTCACTAGTACGTGTAGATTCCAATAAGTACAAGTTTACAAGACAGAAAAAAAAAATCTGAGTTAGGAAACCTATCTTAACTTGAGGAGCAAGTAAGAGCAGGGCAACAAGAAGCTAGAAAAACAACAAAACAAGTGAAGGAGTAATTAAAGTAAAACTTAATCATTTGACTTCGATTATTTTCGAAAACCCAAGTTAATCACGTGTTTCTTCCAACTAAAACGTATAAAACAAACAACTAAATGATATCGAATAGCTATAAACGAATTGGCTCGGTAAAAGTTGTTACATAATTCGCGAGATGTTACCTGAATAATTTTATGTCGGAGTTATCGGCTGATCAATTTGTCAACCTAGCCAAATACACTTCTAACCAGCTTTCCAACCACACAATCACAATTAAATGAGCTCAAGTTAAATTAAATATGGCAAGGCATGAATGAGGTCATCTTCTTCTCATTATGGAAACCATACCATGTTTTCAAAATGGACGAAGACAAGTAAGAAACATCGGTTCCGAGGATAAGCCCAGGCCGGAAGAGATATGCAACAAAAGCCCAACCAGAAAATCTCCAACAAAGACAAGCCCAAACCAAATCTCAGAGGAGGAAATTCGGCCAAACAATCACTTTTCTCTGTGTCTTCTTTTCTAGTAACTAACCCGAAAAGTCGAAAACCCTATAATACTGTTTGCCGTCCCTTATTCGGATTCCCGCCTCCGTCTTCATAGACTGAGGAGTTCTAGCAGAGAAGAAGAGCTGGTCAGCAGTGTTTCTTTCTTTCGTCGGAGAATCGGAAGCGAACTGCGGATCATTGCAGCAGGGGGGAGGGAAGAAGCGAGGAGAAAGACAAGAAGCCAATAACAGATTAGGCTGCTCACATCAATCTCATAGTCAAAGAGGGCCAGGTTTGATTCCCTCAACCTTTTCCGTTTTGCTTTTTCGCGGGTGTTCATTCTGAAAGGGCAGTGTATGTATGCGAGATTGTGTTCTTGGTGTTTCACGATGTTAATTTTCTGATTTGGGTAAAAGGTTGTGTATTTGATTTTTAGGGCTAGGGTTTCTTTTTATTTTTGGTCGAATATGTACTTGTTAGATTAAAATCTGATGTCGTGGATTGTGCTGTCCATTTTGTCTAGTTCTCCGACTACTAATACCTAGAATCATAGCTTCATCTCCCTTGTTGTAGTCTTATGGAGTGACCTCTGTAAGAGTTTCCTTCTCTCCGCGAATTGAACAAGTAGAATTATTGGTGTCCTTGTAGAGCTAGGGATACGCATTATTTGGTTCTCCTTGAAAATGAAGACCTTTTCTTATGCTTGTAAGATACCCTATCTCTATATAAGATAGCTGAGAGGTGGTTCTTCGTCCCTCGAATTCCAGAATATTCCAGAATTTAAGCACTAGTTCTTGCATTTCTGACACTTATACTTTCCGAGCTGTAATGCATTGCAACTTCTCCACGACTAGTATGGTTGTTCTTCCTCCACCATAAGTATCAAAATTCATAGTTTCCGACAGTGTTTTCTTAATTGCTGTATTTTAGGAACTCTACAGCAACCCATGGACACCTGTCATTTTGCTTTCCCCTGCATGTGATACTTGTATAGTTATTCAGGTAGGTATTCCTTTGAGAATGTTTGAACAATAGATCGTAGCGTATGTTGACGCTGCATCTTAATGTGTTTTTGGATGATTCAAGGCCTAAACTCAGTGACTTTCATTATAGTAACTCCATTGGTGGTGAGATCTTAGAATTGTTGACCTCCTTTATGGTTGTTCTTAGGTTATGTTGGTTTTCTTAACTTTTAGGCAATCTGTTTGCTTCTACTTCGAAAGCTAGAGGTTGCAATGCAACTTAATGCTCCCATATAGTTGCAAATGCTAGCGACATTGTAACTCTTCATTGCTTGGTGTTTACCGCGCTATAATTTCGAATGTCTGACTTGCTTCTTTCCTGTTCCATCCAAAGCTTCATCGGGTATGTTCATTAAAAAAGGGGGAAGGGGTTCCCAAACTGCTGGATCAATAGCTTACTACTTCAGACTTCGGTGGACCCCATTTGGCTATTTGTTCAATTGTTTGGTGTTCAACCTAGATGTGAAATCAACTTGTGTGAATTCCAATTTAGACTGCTCTGTGTGCTTCTAAGAATAGCATGATTCTGTTGCTGGTTGCTCTTGTCTTGGATGTTTCTAGTGAACTTGGTTTGACCAACTGCTTTGTGTACATCTAGTTGTCTATATATACTAGAGATGACGGGCACTTATTTATCCCCTTTCCTTTCTTTGTGCAAGTGGGAAACAGGCTTATAGAGGGATTACTACAGCAAGTCGAGTCTTCAGGGCAACAATGAAGGTCATAGAAGTGGATCGATGCCAGATACAGGAGTGGTACCCGAAGTTCAAGTCAGTCTCCATCCCAACCATCATTCACCAACTCCCGCAATCATTCATCGAGTACCTGCTCGACTCAGGAACCTTGCAACTTCCTCTCTCCATATCAAATGAAGACGCTCTGCCAAACAGAGTCCAAAACCCCATCGACGAACTAGACTATCAACTAAGAGAAGAATCCTCCGACAACGATGAGGAATCAGATCAATCTGCATCGTCACCCCCACCTTGTTTCCCAGACCTGGAACTCCAGATCAAGAATTCGATCGAAGCACTAGGAGGTGCAGTTTTTCCTAAGCTGAACTGGAGTTCACCCAAGGATGCAGCTTGGATAAGCTCATCGAGAAACCTCCGCTGTACTTCATTCAGCGAGATAGCACTCTTACTCAAGTCGTCCGATTCCTTGGTCCACGATCTAAGCCACGCCTATGATTCGTGCTGTGACAGAAAAGAATTGACTAGGCCCTCGAGTTTCTACATTGCTCTCCGGAAATGGTACTCTTCAATTTTGCCAGAGAGGGAATTCCGGTGCTTTGTACGTGGTCAGTGGCTGGTGGGGATCTCGCAGCGTGAGGTCACCACATGCTATCCTTTGATTCTGGCAGAGAGGGGCGTAATTCAGGATCTGATTGTGGGGTTCTTCGAGGATCGGGTGAGGATGAAGTTTGAGTCGGATGATTACACGTTTGATGTGTACGTGACAAACGATGGGCGGGTTAAGGTTTTGGATTTTAACCCATGGGCGGAGTTTACACTGCCTCTGCTGTTTACGTGGGAGGAATTGGAAGGACTTGATGGGGAGAAGGAGGAGGATGTGGAGTTGAGGGTTGTGGAGAGTCGGTGTGGGATTCGGCCTGGTTTGAAAACTGCTGTTCCACGAGAATTTTTGGAGGTTGGCCCGGGGAGTGGATGGGAGCAGGTGTTGAAGAAAGCATTTGAGGAGTCGCAGCAGGAAGGGGCATCAGATGACGATTGAGAGTTGTACTGTCAAATGTCTACCAGCTTGATAGGATTTGGGAATGTCATCTTTTCTAGTCACCAATGTGGTTGAAATAGTTACCTAGGTGAAGAGGGTAGCAGCCGAGAAACCCAGTAGAAAGTTGGAGTGTCTGTGTAAAATGACAACCTTGGCTTAATCTTTCTGAGTGATATATAAAATTTGTCTTTTGTTGACATTATATGCTTGAGCAGCTCCGATTTCCTTCTCCAATAACTGCTTAGAGGCTCCAGAAACTGCTAGGAATGGAGTGGACCGGTTTACCCAAAAACCGCCACCCGGGGCGCGATTTTCATCGGAAACTGCTCAGAGAGGAGGCGGTTTTCATGACCGCCTGTGGTCGGACCGGTTTGGTCCAAAACCTCTGCTCCCCCCCTGCGGTTTGCTATATATTTTATTTCGTAAAGCCCATAATTGGTCCTCGGCTCCTCGCACAATTCGATTAGTTGCTTCATTGTGTTCAAGAAGTCCTAGGTTCAAAACACCATCATCACATATTAATTTTTTTTTATTTAGTAGAGATAAAAAAAAAGCATGTTGTGGTGGTTCAAACCCAGATAATAAACAATTAACTAAATTCAACACAACCTCTACACCACCAGACTACAGCTCTTTTGTTGAAACACTTTTGCACAAGTTCATATTGCCAAAGTTTCTCCTTGAACGCTAAAAATCATCAATAACTTTGGACGATCATAACTTTGTGCTCCAAAATCCAAACGTCGTGAATTTTTTTTTCGATTCCGCATAACCTTTCAAGTACTACAACTTTTATCATAGACATAATTTCGGAATGTATGTGGATTTGAGAAAAGGGAATGTAAAGTTATTCCCATAACCACGTATATCCAAAAATAATTCCAGTTTTGAAAATTTCTTCCAAGTGAAAGTTGTATTCCTTGAAAAGTTATGCATAATAATAATAAAAAATTCATGACGTTCGGATTCCAGAGCACAAAGTTATGGTCGATCAAAGTTTGGCAAATTCGAAAAAAGCCTGTTCGGGATAGCAAACGACGTTTTTTTGGGACAAAGGCTGGACCAAACCGCCTATAGCTATTTACGTCTTGAGAGATCTCGAAAATTTATGCGGAATAAAAAAATTGGCTACGATCGGATACCCGAGCACAAAGTTACGTTCGTTTGAAGTTTCGACCGAGGTTAAGAGTTGATTGAAAAAAGGAAAAAAAAAATTGGACCAAGCCGCAGAGGGAGCAGCGGTTTTGGACCAAACCGGTGCGACCGCAGGAGGTCATGAAAATCACCCCCACCCCAAGCGGTTTTCGATGAAAACCGCGCCCCGGGGTGCGGTTTTTTTTGGAAAGGATGGTATTTTTAGAATTTTTTGGGGTTGAGTAGTATTTTTGTAATTTGTTATTTTCTTTGTTTCTACATTGTTTAATGAATATACTTATAAGTCAGCCTGCCTACATGTACCTTTTCAAGTGCCAAATAGAGACGCCTAGGATAGGAGTGCCAAATAGAGACGCATCTTATCACAACAAGTAATCAAGACAGCAATTCAAACATATGCCAAATAGAGACGCCTAGGATAGGAGTGCGGATCTATTGATTAAGGATAATGTTGACAGGTTTCGAGTTTCAATCCGTTATATTATTTATTAGGTTGGGTTTGGGTTTAGATATTATCCAATTTATGTATACTCGCACACACTCATATGATCAATTTTTCCATGACATAAAGTTATTTCAACGGCAAAAGAAGATTTCTTTAGTATGGATGCTCTCATCCATATAAGCATATTCTTTTTTAAAGAATCGACCAATTCAATTAGTCCTAGGCTCCTCGCTAAAGATATGAACCTGAAAGAGGAGGCTTACTTATTATATCCTTATGCCATCACACATCTCCATAATAACAATATATTAACAAGCATGTAAGGAGTGGCAATGTGATTGTGTTTTGGTTGCATTTGGAAGATAAGATTTTTCATTCTTGCCGTGTGTGTTATCGAAGAACGCACTGGCAAGGTAACAAAATTTGGAATATTGTGGTTGGTAAATGAATAGATGGCTCGAAATTTCCAATCATTATCCACTACTACTTTATTTGTTTTGGAGAGTGAAACTAAGATGACAATGTTCAAGTTCTTAATGAGAAAGAAACTTTAAATTAATCATGTTGTTTATTGATGTTTATCTTTAATGTTGAACAATTTGTATGAATTATTTATAGTTTGCTTGTATGTTCTAGATTGATGTTTTTAGTATCGATAATTTGTATAGGCAGATTGATGTTAGACTTTTATTTTGACAAGAACTTATTATTGTGCATTTTTTTACCATAGAACCCATGGGAATCCATGAACTCGCAGATACCCAGCGGGTTGGGTTGAGTTTGAAAATCCAAAACACATTGGGTTTTAACATGGGATTTTTTTACGGATAAACCCATGGGTTTGAATTCAGGTTTGACAAAACCCACCCGACCTATTGCCATCCTAGTCCCAAAGCATACAAAGTATAATAGAAAAGTATACAAACTATAAAAACAAAGCATACAAACCATAAAATAAAATTGTACTCACGAATAATAAATGGTATACAAATCATAATACAAAAGTGTACAAATCATATAATAAAAATATATAAATTAATATTACAATGTACAATTATATCATGAAAATATCTAAACAAATAAGACAAACTATACAAATCAGATAATAAAAGTGTACAAACAAATAATAGATTGTATACAAACCAAAATATGAAAATATATAAACTAATAACAATTAACAGATGAATCAACAAGAATTATACAAACCCAATTATAAACTTATACAATTCAACAATAAAAAAATATACAAACCAATGCATCAAACTCATTCATAAAAAAACCTATACAAACCATATAATAAAATTATAAATATTATAAAGAACCCACCGTCCCCTTTTGCTTCTTTTTTTTACCAGCCATCATTTTTTTGCATACCGTATTTTATAATTTTTAATAGACAAATATTATAAAGTACCCTACCATAGCATACAAACAACAAAAGAAAAGCATACACACTATAAATACAAAGTATACAAACTATAAAATAAAAGTCTACGAGATAATAATAAATGGTATACAAATCAGATAATAAAATTGTAAATATCAAAATATAAAATGTACAAACTAATAACATATAGTAGACAGAAAACATACAAACTCGATTATATAAATATACAAACTGACCATAAAAAATACAAGCCAATGCAACAAAGTATACAAACCATATAATAAAATAAAAAATATATAACTCAGATAAGATAAGTATACAAACCAACAAAACAAACTATATAAACCAAATTATAAAATTATGTCATTAGTGCATACAAATATTACGAAGTATACAAACTATATTATAAAAAATTGGACTTTGCTACGGTGACTTGCAAGTCATCATAACTTACACTTTTCGGTCGACCTATTACTAACTGCAGTTGACTTAATCTGGTCTTTCAGGTTTGTGAGCTCAACGACGCGGTTGACCGTTTACAGCAAAAGGTCGACCTCTTTAGCAAGCGAACAATATAAAAGGTCGACCACATTATCTCAAAGGTCGACCATTTTGCTATCAAAAGGTCGACCTCATAAATGAAAAGGTCGACCTCTGTTTCATTACCTTATTGACTCACTCCTACTGTCACTCTAGAAAATGGCCAAGTGTAACCACTTCCTAAAGCGTAGTATAGCGGGTTTGGGTTTTAATGTCAACCCGGGTCCTAGATGTGATGACTACTCAGTGAATTCGTATTATCTAGCAATGAAACTTTAGTGAAGATCTAAACTAACAAGCAAGCAAAGCAACTAAACGGTTGTTTTCAGGTTAAGAAAGGTCACCCGGATATGGTTCCCCCTAGTCTGCAGTTAAGCCGGATTGTAATTACCAAGTTCAATTTCTATGATAGTTATACTGTGGAAGGTTCTCAAACAGTCTGAAGTCTCGACTAAAGGTCTTCAGACCCTCTCAATCTGAGTCTCTAGCGGGCGACTAACCTCCACCTGAGTAAACAGATTGAGGCCCTAGCGAACCAAACCTCCACTACCGAATTGAATTCGGTACAGAATAGCGAATTGGCTCCTCGACTAAAGTCACCAATTCGCCACCTTCAATTAAGGATACTCTATCAACCTAGGCAGATATTCTCATTCTAGGTTAAAGCAGAAACAACAGGAATTTGATCAGGATTCATGCCATTCAATCATTCAAACCTCAATCGAATATAATCAAATCATAGAAACAGTACTTGGGTTCATACAATCAATCCTAACATACAGATCTAGGGTTTCTCACACCCAGATGAATGGGAGAACTACTCCATGGAGAAAGGAGCAAAAGCAGAATCAGATGCGGAAATCATACTGTGAAGGATGGATTTAAGCTCCTGGACGTTGATCGGCACTCTTCCAAGCTCAAGCCAAGCTCCAATGGTGATGAAGATCAAGCTAGGGCACTTGGAGACTCTTGTTCGTCGCTTTCTCTCTCTAGGAATCGCTCTGTCTCTCTAAAACTCGAATCCCCCCTCTTTTGACTGAAAATCTGCCTAAAAAGGGCATCAGTGGCCAAAGCACGGTCGAGGGCACGGCCGTGCTTTGCCTCAGCCCGCCCGTGCTTTGGCTAGGGTTAATTACACGGCCACAGAACACGGCCGTGTTTTGAAGGCCTCCTGCCCGTGTTTTTACTGCCAAACCTGTTCCCCTATATTCAATGCTTCGTTTCTCCCTCGTCCGAACTCCGAATCAGTCGCCGTTTGATCCCAGACGCTCGTAGTCTCGTCCTCTTTCTTTCCATGACAAGCTTGCACGATTCTTTGTCCATAAAGTGAGGTAGAAATCCATTCTTCTTCAGGTCATGCCAGAGTTTCTTCTCCCGAATCGCCAATTGATCTCTGATTGACTTGAAACTTGCGCCTATGCTTCACTTTATGTGCTAGGACCTGAAATGTAACAAAGGAACACAACCTAGCGTAAAATAGGCCAAAGAAGCGATAATGCAAGCTTAAACGATCAAGAAACAAAGGGGAAAACATGTGCAAATATCGAGTCATCAAATCCCCCCACACTTAACCGTTTGCTTGTCCCCAAGCAAACCAAGTCAGACACAAGGTAAGCTCAAAACATTTCAATCAAGCAGGCTTTAGGGCAAATCATATTGGCATAAAACACGTGGATCATACTGGCTTTCGATCATCAACACATGGCAACTCGAACAACAACCTAGACAACCACCACAGATGACATTCGAATGCAATAA